ACTCCTGCTGATGAAATAAATGCCTGCTTGAAGTCATCAGTTCTTTGGAGATATCTACAAAAATTGACACTAAACATTAATATGCGTGTTCACCTACAAAATGATCCAGCTGCCCATGAGTTCTCAAAACAATTGTTAGAAATTGGTGACGGCAAAATACAAATCGACAGAACCAACGGATTGATCGCTGTACCGAACAATTTTTGTACAATTGCGCAATCGATAGATGAATTGATTGAATGTGTTTTTCCGAATATTGTTCAGAATTACAGAAATCATGATTGGTTGACAGAACGCGCCATTTTAGCACCGAAAAACATTCATGTCAATGCAATTAATTTTCAAATTCAAGCGAAACTGCCAGGCGTAGTCACGAAATATAAATCAATTGACAGTGTTATGAATCAAGATGAGGCAATGAATTATCCAATATAATTTTTAAATTCATTGGAGCCGGCTGGTATGCCACCGCATTGCTTGAATCTGAAAGTTGGTTCTTCGATTATATTATTGCGAAATATTAATCTACCAAAACTGTGTAACGGAACCAGATTGGCAGTGAAAAAGTTATTGCCAAATTTGATTGAAGCTACGATCTTAACTGGTAAATCAAAAGGAGAAGTTGTTTTGATACCGCGTATACCTATGATTCCAACTGATATGCCTTTTGAGTTCAAACGTTTACAATATCCTGTGCGTTTATCATTTGCGATGTCCATCAACAAGGCCCAAGGTCAAACACTTCACGTTTGTGGTGTGAATTTGGAGGAACATTGTTTTTCACATGGCCAGTTATATGTTGCCTGTTCCAGAGTCGGTACCCCCAGCCGTTTGTTTATTTATGCTCAAAATGGAAAAACAAAAAATATTGTTTATCCAAATGTTTTGGATTAAGTGTGTTGTAAATAGCTAGCAATTGATTTCGATTTTAAATAAAATATTTTTTTGATTAAATAAATGAATTTGATGTTCCGATTTGTTTATTTTATTTCACTTTATACGTAGCGAAGCACGTACCGGGCCGCTAGTGGTATATATATAAAGCTGTATCTGTTATATTATAAACCGTTTAGTCGCTTGAATCTGTCGGATAGCTTCCCTTCACAGTCGCTCTGAAGGGGTCATATTTAGGTTCAGTCGATATCACGGAGGCCGAATACTTGCTCGGAATCCCGGTTCCACCCCATTGGCCAATGTTCACAGTTGAATTACATTACATTAGACTCCGCTTGCATTCCGACTGTTCTAAGTGCAGTTGACTGTCTGTATACACTTAGCAGATATGCTTACATCTATTTAAACTGTCTCTAGAGCGCCCTCCGGTGATCTCTACCATGCCACATACACTGTTACTCGCGTTGGGACTTATAAAATATTAGAGCAATTAATTTTAACTAATTTTGTGTTTTTGGTTCAACAATCATCTCATTTAAATAGTGTCAACATTTCGTAACTATAATAAAGTTATTGTAATTCGTTTGAGTGAATACAAACGCGTTCCTCTCAGAAGCTTAGCGGACATCACGTCAGACGTTATCACTTTAAAGAGCGGTTGTTTGTTGACGAGCGGTGCGTTACGTGACCACCGTCCACCTACCACCTACAGAAGTCACAGTGACGCGGGTCGGTTTGAAGAAGGTCTGCCTACAATTGAATCATCCCTTCAGACACGTTACATCATAATATTATAATGAACATTTTATTTTAATACACAAATATACAGAAATATTTATGATTGAAACAAAAATAAAGAGCGGATTATAAAAAAATATAAAATTGATAGCATTTTTATATAAAACTACTCTTCGAACTATTACAATCAATTTATTAATTGGTTTATTCTTAATTCGTACAGATTATTTAACTTGTCATTTTTAATGTAGTATGTGTTATTTTATGTACATATATTTAATACATATATTATTATAAATGTATTTTGTAATCTGTTATAAGGGATCCCTAATCGTGGTCGGCCACGTTCGACCTCCGTCAAATCGTCTCTCGAGCTGTCTGCGACTTGATCACTGAAAGGTAACCGTCGCCACTTCTGTATAAAAGAGTATATTATTTATTTAACTCGTAATAATAGTATTAAAAGTCTCGTTAGGAAGAGAGTAGGTACTTTAAAGTTGGGAAGCTAATGATCATTCAAAGACAACAAATAACCTCATCGTCGGAGCAAATTGTTCCAATTTAGATCCAGCCTCTTTATATTATTATTGCAAGCTCAGCGCGTGAAAGTTTCCGAGCGGGCCGCGTGAGAGAACTCCACAATGAAGTCGCCAGTTCGCAGTAAGTGCCGACACAACCTTCACGTTCCTTTAACTGAGGAGACACTCCACTTCCAAGTTTTATAACTAATTTGTGATCAAAGCCGGCGGCGGGACCGAAACTGTTCTTTGTACTCTCACATAACACATCATAAAACCTTCTTATTTATCTCACAGACAGACACGGTCGGTACATCATAAGTTTATTTCCAGTCGTTCGACGGTGGGAGGTGTCTCTGGCGCTGTACGAGTCTCGCTCCTTTTCCACAACAAAGGCGAACTATATTAAATTAGGCGTAGATGGAACTAAAGGAAGTTCATAAGCCAGCTTTATTATTAGAAATTCTTGTGGGAAGTCTGAAAAACGAAAACTCCGAGACGGAGCTTTCATTAGGTACTATACGACTTTATTCAGCTAAATTAAGTGAAACATATTAAAAGTGCGAGCGGACGGTGCTCCGCGCTCCACAATGCGTATAATTAGTAGCGCTCCATTAACGTCCCGCCGTCGGAACAATAAAGGGGTCGCCGGAGTACATGCCATACTTTGGACGGTAACAACGGCGGCGGGTCAGCCGGTTCATTTGAACCCGTTTAACTCATTTGAATCCTTCCTGAACATTAGCGCGTCGACAAACAAAAGGCGCGGAGGTTCACACACTGAGAGGTGACTGGCGCTACTCATTCAAGTGTTCGTCAGTTACTCCTTGCGAGGGATGCTGCTTCCTGCCGTAATGTATCATGAATCTTTAATTAAACTTTGTCTCTTATACTCGTTGTGTACTCCGTCACGTCTTCCCCAACACGCTCCAGCCCCGCCGCCTCCCGTCATGATAAACATTTTCATCATTTTAAACAATATCAATTGTGGCTATAAGCATGCGGTTCACCCTCGGCCCCGCTCGTTCCACTCTCCATTGTCTATTTTGAACCCAATTGAAATTTTAAATTGGAATAGATACAAGCAAGCTCTCAATATTTCCAGCAAATAGTTTTTGAAAGCAATTAAAGGAAAAATATCGAATGAATAGATTCACGTGGATCCGAGGTTGTGTGTTCCGTTCGCTCTCCGATACATTGAAGCGTTCACAAAATATATCGGAGTAACATTCAACTATTTATAAGTGAACGTAACGAACCATTTAAATATATGTGTTCGAGTTTGATTAATGTAAAGTTGAATATTATAATACGGACGGAGCGGTCGCGGCTCGTGGTTTAAGTTTACAATTAAGTTGTCGGACATTTATCAATTGAATGAAAAACTCGGCGACTATCTTACAGCGGATAACTTTTATATAGAATTTGTTAAGTCCAGGTAAAAGTTTCTACGGGTGGTGTTTCGTTCAAAGAACACTCTCATATAATTTTCTATTTTTTTATTGGTGACATTTTATTATTATTTACATGAATACCAACAGATACAACACTCGTACAGATCTAGATGTAACAGGAGTAAAGGATATGTTCTCAACACACTCTAACACACGTCTACTCTGACATCCACTGCTCCTCTTATAAATACATTTTATTTTAACTAAACATATGTATAACAAAGTTACAGATGAAGCCGACTCAAACACAAACCGGTGCACACTAAATACATTCCAAGACGAACAACATCATTAACACTCTATCGACTTCAATTAAACTTCAACAAACATAATATAGTGATACAAACTTGATATAAACAATACTTATTTAAGAAATACAATAAAGGCCGAAATATAATTGACACAATTAAAAGATCCATCCTATTCTCTAAAGCCGACGGACGCGTCCCTTCAATAGACTCTGATTATGTCACACTCGACTTTAATATACAAAGAAACCATTTTAAATTGAAACGAAGCCGTAAAGCTAGCTCTAAACTCTATAACAACACCGCGTACAATACAACTTTAAAGGATCCCGAGCCGTTAGTATGAAATTTGGTCGAGCGATCGTTACCCTCGCCGCGTCTCCACAAGGCACTCGTCTTTATACATACGGTAACTATGATACGAACACCGAGTCGTTGTAGTCATTATTATATGTTATTATAAACGATTTGTATACAAGATGAAGACTCGCCCTTGTAAGACGAGGACACACTGATGAATATGAATCTGGATAAAAAAAACTGATAGATATAAAACACTACAATGACTTCCACTGAGCTCCATATAGAGTACAGAAATACTAACGCTATTGAAGGAAATAAACAATTAGTCTGCCAGATAGAACAGAACATTTATCATATAATATGTTATAGTGAAGTAAGGGTAGATGTATGATGTACAAAAAGTTGATTACGATAAGTACATATAAAGTACCGGCGTCGCTGGCGCTGGTCCCACGTTCCTCCAGTGTTTAGTTTAGTCTTACTGTCAGTATGTTCTGGACAATACGACCCGACACACCTACCCTGTTAGCATCTATTGACAAGACAGTTTGATCCGTTACAATGTGTTCGGAAAGAAGTCTATACGAGAAGGCATGCGCATCATTGGCTTACAAATGCATAAAACTTTACACTTACCTATAAAAATAGTTCAACAATGATAAAATAATATTTCATTCTATACAAAACACGCAAACCATTAGAGTCGTGAAGAGCGTTTAGATCAAGTGAAGCTGTACTGGTACATCTAATACACGATAAATGAATGTTACATTTCACTATTCAGAAAGCGAACCGTTCAGAACAGTTCACCATCAGCTATAACACGATCCGGACTACTTGTGACATCATCGGCAGATCAAGCTCTCGTCTCGGGCCGCGCAGACTCCGTGGGGTGGCGCCAGGAACAGCTTGCCGTTGGCGCACGCACACAGCTGGTAGATGTTCTGATGATGAGGGTCGTGGGTGTGCGCAGACGGGGGCAGGGGCAGCGCAGACTTCAACTTGGGCATGTATATACTCGGGGCGTCCAGTCTTATCTGGAACAAACGATGCTGTCAGCCAATAATCATAAGAAAACATATTAACAGTCGCTTATAAAGCACAAAGCGTTTCCCCAGAACGACGGAAAAACTAATTCTATATATCCATTATTCAGAAGCCCGGGGCTATGAAATATAGTTTGAATGGCGGCCGGCGAGGAGCGGGCAGCGGCGGGCGAGGGGCGCTGTGTCAGCGATTGTTGAGAGACGGATCAGATGCTAGTATCATTATATATTTATGACTCTGTTTTGTGAGCGTGTGAGGACCTTCATGTAATAAGGTTTTATTCGTAAAGTCAACTTTAATCAGATATTTATTTATTATGTAGGCTTCCTAGCTGATAAAATTTCATTGAGTGTAATTGATACTGACCGCCCCAGCGATGGATCTCAGTCTGAAGGTGGTGAGGCAGCTGGCGCTGATGTCCCCGGCTCGGGACTCCATCGAGATGCTCTGCGCCGCGTGCATCTCCAGGGACCGAGTTGGAGACTCCAAGCTACATCAGGACACAGACCTTAGTTTAAAAGTCTACTTTTTAAATTTAAATATCAGTAATATAAGTAGTTAATGAATAACTACATTTGCATTATTTTAATTATAGTCATATTTGGTTTAATTAGTTTTCTGTTTTATTTTCAATCTCTAAATAAAGCACGATACATATTTATCCAAAAGAACAATATACTTCAAACAAATTTCATATCAACGTATCAACTACTTTGAACTCGTTGAGACTAGAGCGTTAAGAATATATGTAAAGTATTAAAGAAAAGTTATAATTATGAAAAGTTTTGTTAGCCAATTATGAATGAAAAGCAAAATCGTAAGTAGTAAGGTATTGATGTACGTCAATGGCTTGGAGGGTGGTGATTTAACGAGCGGCGTCTGTACGGCCGTAGTGAAGGAGGCGCCCGCGGGACTCGCCACCACCAGGTTGTCAGCGCCCACAGTGACGGCCCCGCGCTCCGCTCCTAACACCAAGCCTCCTCGACTGTCCCTCACCTCCAACTTACCCACGCTCACCTCCAGACGATCATGACCTGGACAAGGAAACCTTCAGACTCAGTCCCCACTTATTAAAGTTAATATTGTAATTAGAAAAGTATGAATCATCAAAAATATGTTATAGTGCGTTTGATCTAAGCTGAGCTTTGCATTTGTGTGAGTGCACACGGATAGTGTAGGTGTGATGTCAAATTGTTGAATGCCTCGTTCTTTTCTAGTTCTGAACTGGTTTATTCTGCTTTTACTACGTCCCGCACCTTCCTCACTTCACCCTTTGTACTGGTAGCAGCGTCAAATGTTGAAAAGGCAATGTCAAGTGAAAAATAATTTGTATATATTTTTCAAAATTTTCATGTTTTTTTTTATTTTTTCATTATATTTCCATCTGGCCTTTTACAAGTATTGCTTATATTATTTTTAGTCAAGAAAAGCTCTAGCACCTATATTATGTATCTATTTAAAATATAATAAAATTGAATTTTAAAAGTTTTTTGTCTAACTCTACTTTTACTTTCACTCACACAAATGCAAAGCTCAGCTTAAGTCGAACGGACTATACTCGATTGTTAAAACCTAATTCAAAACTAAAAACCTCATCGAGTCATACAAATAAAAAAAATCATGTATAACATTACTAACGTTAGATCTCTAATTAAAATATAAATAATACAGACCTAAGAATAGTTTGGTCTGCGTCATGCCGTGCGAGTCTCTGGTGGAGATCGTAAAGTTTCTGGAGGACTCGATGTTGATGGGCTGTCCGCGGCGAGACTTGATGCTGGACGCGAACAATGAGTCCAATACTAGAGCCTGGCCCAGTAGTTGCAGCCCGCCGGGGACTATACGGAGCTGACCCATACCTTCCTATACACAAAAATCATACTATTACAAGTCTGAACACTCATTCATCTCAGCTATAAACTTCCAAAAGAATCCTAAATACGTCGACAGTGAAACGATTCAATAATCAATCCGCGTAAAGTTACACGTTCCTTCCATTATTCGTTCCATAACATAACTCGGGCGAAAGTGCCACAAAGCTCGCATAACACACAAAGGAAACAATAATTTACCGAATTGAAATCCAATACTTTGAGAATCCACAGCGTCAGCGCGAGATTGACAATCATCATAAGCATGAGTGTCATGACTAGAATGTAAAGACATTTCTTCCTCCAGCCGTAAATGCCAACTTTGAATTGGCTATTATAACTGTTCCTGATGGAGTCCGCCTTTGTGTCGCGCCCCCCGGTTTTGTTCAGGATCGGCTCCGGGGTGATTTTGTCCGCGTACGGGATCCTAAAAGAATATTGCTTTAAACATCATTCCCTTTTATAAATTCCATTATATCTTTCATTCGATATATTTCCAATAGGACTTTAGTATTTTCCAGGAAATATTGTAGTTACTATGAGGACAGTTTAATAATTCATTATAACCGGGGACGCTATTCTTATTAAATGTGAAATTTCAGTATTTACAGTCGCCAAGTGAGAGTCATGTTTGTGTATTACAATTTCATATAACACCTTCAATATCGTATATTATTACATATTTTATTTATTTCCTATCGACTATTTATGATGATCATAAAATAAAAAGATTTTTATAATTTATAAATATAGTTTGTCAGAGGGATAACTCATACAGCCTGTTATATTTGTAACGTGGAATGAACTAACTGTGATAAAAGTTAACATACATAGTTTCTTCGTGGTTGTTACATGTTGAATGTTCTTCAATGAAGTATTCAATAATTATCTACATTTTAAATATACTTTAATAACACCTTATACGTAATAAAATACAAAGGGAGCATTAGTATCAAGCTTCAGACCGTCATCTTTAAAACATTTAAATAAGTCCCAGTCGTTTTATAAGATTCAATTCAACATATTGAGTCGACACGAACCGGTACTATATATTTTCCTTGTGCGGGGAACACATTTCACTTGCATAAATCATAACTTTATTTCCTCCAGCCCGCCGAGGGCCCGCTGACTCCACGGACGGCGCGGAACACGGGTTATGTCGAACAGACGCCGCTACATCTGTCTTGCACGTTCCAATAACGATCAAAACATTACGCGACCTCACCTCAACCTACGAATACGATCTGTGCCTGTGTCTGTGTCTGTGTTGTGCTACTCTGTGCCTGTGCCTGTGCCTGTGCTGTCAGTACCATCAGGTCGTTTAACGATCGTTGTTCCCGGCGGCCACAAACATGTAGTTTGTTGTGAAACTTCTTTTAATATATTCGAGACTCGAAGGAGGAACTTTTCCATCAAGCTGTGACATTAGCGTCTAATTTACAAGTTCCCTGTAAGTAAACTTGATAATGCGGTTCCGTTCAATAAAATACGACTAAAAATTGTAGTCTGCCGTCCGACATTGAGCCTAATAGACGGCGGTCACGCGACCGGCTTGTATTGAAATAGTTTAATGAGCACTAAACACTAACCACCAGCCGACCGGCCGTCGACCACAATAGAACAACACAAGAACCTTTCATGTGACAGAACGGAGTTGGTGATGAGACCTGACTTAATACATTCACGAAACTTTTGATACAGGTATACTGACACATAAATATTACGAAGAGAAGATGAGAAGTTCCCGGGGACTTAGCTTAATAAAAACTGCCATCACTTCACTTAATGTCAATTTATATTACTAAATAAATACTGACCTGATTTAATCTTCAACAATTTTTTCCATATTAAATGATGATAATTGAAGCGACTCTCCAATGAAGGTATGACATATGTATATCAGTACATGTATATGTAACAAACATGCAGCGCTAAGCCTTCAAAATACACGACGGGATCTGAATGCAGATTCATGTTTTAGATTTACTTATGTATGGTCGTATGATGGCGGACGATGGTCGATAGTGGCTCTCAGTTGGTCATAGTGGCCAATGATGGTGCACAGTGGCCGACGTTGGCGGTCATTCCGACGCCGTACCATTAACACTGTGTGTTTTTACAACGAGAGCGAATAAAATGCACTTTCATATTTATGGAGTGACTTTATAGTCTTGTTAAATCAGAATTTTAACGCCACAATTCATCAATAATTCATGCATGTATTCCATCGGACGAGTACAACGAGTTATTCGCATGTTATAATGTATTCTATTAAAACGTACGCGAACATTTTATTTATTTCATTCCGATCGGATTATATTCCGGCGACACACTTACTGTTAGAACCAGGACTGCTCTCAAGTTATCGCTGCCTGAACGATGCTCTAAAGACTCAGTGAAATAAATAATATTAAAGAACATACTACTTATGCAAGCTTAGTGTAAACGCACCGCCAGTGGCTCTGTCCGTGTGTATCATGTATTCTGTTTAGTATCAGTCCGTGTGAGCCATTCGATCGCCTCGACCCCGAGTCACAGAACAGGCAGGTCTGGTGACGCTCGGCTCCTACATTCAAAACTGCCGTCGGTACACAAAGAGATATCGCATGCTCCTAAAACTGCTCATAAATTTACATGGATTTGAACACGACAGGAGCATTTCAACAGCGTTCAAAAATTTCTACTGAGAGTCTCTTTCTCTCTTTGTGTGTGTATTGTCGTCTGAAAAGACAAGTCCACTCTGACGTAGGAATAAGACATGCTCACTTTTTAATTTGATTGTTAAGTAACCATTATTTTAAAAATTCCAGTGAATTTATAAAGATGTTTCCTAAGTTTGAATGGTTTTTGAATGTCATTATTACACATATTTATGTCCCACGCATTCTACAATTTTATCCTACAACCGGTCTCGACTATTATTTTACAGAGCAACACAAGGACAGAACTTTCATAAAAGGTAATTTATGGCTGAGTGTTTTACAAAAAGCTAAGCGTTTGATATGATGTTGTTTGAAGATCACAAGCAGTTAGTTTAGACTTGTTTGTGTTTATTATAATAATTGTATCTTTTTTTGTGAAGCTTTTTAGAGTAAAAAAACATTGAAAGTTTAATGAAACATTACATTATTATAAATACTGAAACACGAAGTGAAAGATGCAGACCCTACAGTGATTATATTGAAAGTGACAAAGTTTTGTGACGTCGTTCTATTCGAGAGAGTATAATGCAGTATAGAGATACCATAAATAAAGAAAATTTAATATATATTTATAAAATTAAAGAGAAATAAAAGCATAATTATAATAATATTTGATGAATTACTCGTATAAGCTGAGGTTACATGAAACAATAAAACTCACTCACTCACACTAGAACTAAACGACTAATGATAATGATTATGAGAACAACTTGTACAGAAAATTATAAAAAAATATTCTCTCTCAATTTATTATACAAGCACAAAATCCTTCTCTTGACTTGACTTAATAAACGGACGCGGAACGGCTTCTTAAGAGATTTATTTTGGGTGTAATGTCAATATTTTATAAGAACTGAGTAATTTTAAGTTCCGCGATGTGTAAGTGTGAGCTCTGAGAGGCTGCACTTTATCTCCGGGAGCAGGCTCCCAACACGTTTGGGAGGTTTATGTGGCATTAGAAATCAATTACAAGAATATCGCTTCCAACGGCGGACTTCTTTCAAACACACCCATTAATACAACCTTTTATATTCTGTTCTAAAATAAGGATCGATACACTTAATAGACATAGCTACACGGAATATTACCAGAGAATACATTCGGCAAACGGAAGCTTCTCTCAAAGGAGGCCTAGACTAGACCAGAATGTATCGTACACAAAGACCTAGATTAAAAACTAGCTATTACAGAAGTAAGTCGCGCTCAAACGAGAACAAGCCCGACCCGGTCTCACGGGGGCGCTGAGATGAAGACCACGAGTTGTTCTATGAGAGAGATTCGCATTAATGAAGATAAAACGCACAAATGACGTTGGAAATCATAAATATTCCGCGCGGAAACATAAACGATGTACGTAGCGGCACGTAGAGCCTCGGAGCGGCACGTAGCAGCTCGTAGAAACGTAGAGCTCGCAGTACGTAGCGGCTCGCCTCCGTAGCATCAAGGCTTGGAGGGTGGAGGGAGAGGTTCGCCTCAAATGAGTCGTATGAATCATCTTCAGGACAGCGACTTGACGCCCGAGCCTCCTCTCCTCTCGCAGGAGACATGACTTTATATGTATTATTTTACATGGTACAACTGTTTGTATGTTTGTCTGTTTGTTCGTGTAATATTCGTTAACAATATAATTTGCTTGCCACACTAATGATATGATGATAACAGTGACGTCGCGGCTTGTTAGGTTTTAGTGTCGGCAGTTCATAGCGTTAAATTATTGAGGTTTTATATGAACACCGGCGGCTCTGTGTCTGTGTGTGTGTGTGTGTGTGTGTGTGTTTGTGTGTGTCTGTGTGAGGTCTCCGCACCACACTCGTTAGCAATATTCCACTAACGAAGCAAACTAATAGCCATTAAGTTGAATAACGCGGCAGTTCGCTCTCCGCCTCGCGTATGATGACTGTAACACACACACACACACACAAACACACACACACGCACACACGCACGCATATGCACGCGTCATCATGTTCCTCCTGTATTATCAGATATCTACTAAATTCTACATTCATCATAATATAATATATATTACCCATAAATGATGTCAAAGTCATATGTACTTTCTAAGAGTATTTAGACACCACTGATTAATGTATTCCCAAAAAGGGTTGATGTCAGGCAGGCGGTCGGAATAACAATTAGCGAAAACTATTCACAACATGTAAGGCAGACCCTGGTTAAACCTGGGAAATTGCCAGGTAGAAGAAGAAGATGTCAAAGTTCGTCCTTCGCGTTCGTCTCACCGCATTGTCCGCAGTCGTTTTTTTTTTTAATTAAAATAAAAATACAAATGTCAAAATATTACAATAATGAAGTTATTCTTCTTCTGCCTGGAAATTTTCCAGCTTTAGCCAGGGTCTGCCTTACGTGTTGTGAATAGTTTTGGCTAATTGTTTTTTACGACCGGTCGCCTGCCTGACATCAACCCTCTTTGGGAATGCATTAATCAGTGATGTCTAAATACTCTTAGAAAGTACATAAAGTACATATGACTGGGAAAAATCACATTGCTTGCCTGGGCTAGGATCGAACCCGCGACCTCAGTAACGAGAGGCGGGCCCTTTAACCACTAAGCCACCACTGACTATATAATAATGATGTATTGGAACTAATTGCTCCCTTGATTGAGGCTTGAAGGAACATTTGATCTGAACTATGGTGTCTGAGTCACCTGACCATCATATTTCTATCAATTATCAAGATATTCTTTCGCATTAATACGTATATATTCAAAAGTCCCTGTCAAAAGCCACTCGGGTACATTTTTTGTTTCAATAAGTGCAGCGCTCGATGGCGGCCGATGTACATTTAGTTGCGCCGGTCGTCTCTGAATGGGAAGAGCTCAAATAATAAAGTTCAAACGCGGAATGAAAGCCGACAATAAATTTTATTTGTTAAAATACAAGTTTTAAAAACTCTCAAATACAACTAAAACAACTGGAATTGAAAAACTATAAAACACTCTGCTGTAATACCGATATAGAACAATTAAAATAGATTGTTAAAACATTGTGAAAACATAAAACTAATATATACTTATATATATTTAATTTTTATTTAACGACTTCATTAGTATTATTCCAACAACAGTTTTACATTAAAGAGTCAATTAGTTAGATTTTTGTAACAGTTTTTTACAATTGTTACTTTTAATTTGTAGTTAAGAAATTTTTTATATTAATATATTGTATAATAATTATTTTTATTTCAAAAGGCTATAGTTCAAATATATGACTGAGACTGCAATCTCGTCCAGTTTAAATAAAGACTCTTAAAGTTTAAATTTGAAAGAAAAACAATTGTGTAATTTAAAATAACCAAAAACGCTATATCACATCCGAAAATATTAGTTCTATTTAAATAAATACTTCCCAAATTCCAAAAGCAATTATATTAAATTTTATAAAACATTTAACTAGAAAAGTTTTCCATAACCTCTACATTCATAAATAAAAGAAAAACTTTAATGAGATCTAAGATTTTCGCGAGTACTCATTTAAATGAAACTAATCTTTTCGGATTTTTCCGCTTTTTTTATTTTTGATTAAAAACTATATACTCCCGACCTTTCGACTATCACTATCTTTATCGATAAAACATCATGAACTAGTATTATATTCGCACCCTACTTATAATATATCTCAACCCTAGTCTCGACCAGGCCTCACATCCAACCTGATGCAGGTGTAGGTCAGAGGTACGTGGAGTATTCCAATTAAGTTTCTCATAACAGAACACGGTCTCAGTAATACATACGTCCATGAGACTTGTGCCAGGCTGGAGCTCGTTTCCAGGCGGCCGGGAGCGCGCCGGGCAGCTTCAGAGACACGTCAAAGGCAAATTGGAAATTAATTTATGCCTTTAAAATTTCATAACGCTCTCGAACACTCGACCAAGTGAGTGAGTGAGTGAGGCGTCGCGACGCTTCATATTGAAAATATCTGACCGTTATGTTCTGACATATAGCTGAATGAAACAAGGGATAATTGAGATTTTGTTTAAATACATATAGTTTAGATTTTGTAAAATAACATTGTGTTAATGTTGTCTAAAACTTTCGCGAGTATTCATTTAAATGAAACTAATATTTTCTGACGTACAATCGTGTTTAAATAATATAAACGCAATAGTACATGCAAAAATATTATTATTATGTAAAAGATTCTGTTACTATCCCCTACGATCGTGTGTTAAAACTCAAATAACATTACTTGTAACGAAAAAAACACAAATTAGTCTCCATCTAAGTTTAAACAGTTAGATGTTTTTGTTAGAAATTTTATTTAAAGTTTTTTAAACCTGTCTGTTGAATATTTCACCACTTAGAGAGTTTAACACAGAACTAATTCAAAATACAATCCCGGGTTTTAAGTAGTTCCTAAAAAAAATCACTCCTGTTAATTCTCTACAACATTTGTTTTTATTAAAAAAAATGTTCATCCTTTTTTTAAATTTCATGTTATTCTCTAGTTTATTCTGGTTAAATGATAACTTATTTCAATGCTCTTATTATATCGTATATTAAATTAGGATCAGTTTTAAAGTCTTAAGGAGCGCTCTGTGGACACTCAGCGGACTGTGAACACGCGCAACGTAAAAAGTAACCGAATTAATGTCAAAAAAAGAATGAAAAATTTACTGAGTATGCTGAGCGTATTGCGCAGCCTGAGCACAATGAGTACACAAAGAACACTGAGCACCCGCTGTAAATACTGGGGGAAAGCCTCTCACTTATAAATTAGGATCATAAAGCAGTTGCCGAAGTTTGTCGTCGTCACGGCGACCATAAAACAACACTTATGTCTCGAGGGAATTCGCCAGTCCTCCTCGCATACTATGATCATCCCCACACCCCGCTCGCCTCCACACATCTCCACACACACCCTCACTCCATCAAGATGTTTCAATTTACTTCAATTGCCATAACGATCATCCATATGTGATCAGATGTATTCCGACGCCGAGATTGTGAATCTTCACGTTCTTTAAGATGTATTCATGTTGTTCTGTCAGGAAAGATGATTTTGTCCGACTAGAGAGGACGGATCCAACAACGACTATATGATCTGTACATTATAATCGAGTAACAGACGGGATAACAATTATATAGACACCAAAATCAAAGAACATATGCTGAAAAATGTAATAAAAATCAAAATTCCATACCAAGTTTTACATGCAATGTATTTTATTTCTCCCAAATTTATGATTCATCATCCATAATGTTGCTGAATGTAAGGTTATTAAAACGACTAATGATATTTCATTAATTTAGTTTAGCGGTGAAATATGTCACCGGCGAGTGAGCAGCGCGCGAGCACACACGGGCGGCAACACTATGTCGGAGGATGAAAAATATAATGAAATTACAAGTGAGGCTCACAAACACCAGAACATTATGGCGTTGGAATTAATGATTCGTATTTTAACCGGCTCTTGGTATTTAATTAATGATGCTTCATGAAGTCGAACGGATTGTTTGACTCGCTCGAACATTCCGCTTGTGATTCTTAACATTTGTTTGACAAAGATTTGACGTTTATGTTTTACAGTAACGGTATTTGATCCCTTGCATTCCTCGTCACCTTAACAATTACAATGGCTTTCATTCAATAATAATTAATTGGAATTCACTGAAATCTTACAGCAGCATTCATCGGACTTACAGACCTAGTAACGCTTTAAATCATCCAGTGTGAAGATTCCCTTCATCTCTTCGTCGTATCTATCTTCAACTTTATATTTATAATATGTTAAATCGTTATCGCAATTATTTTATATTTCTCAACGATTGTAAACTTAATTAATCCCGTCATTTGTAACTCGTTGCCGCCTCGCGGAGCACTAATAGAACTCGACTCCCTTGCACTTGACATTTTATTAAAGCAAATAAACTGTATGAAAAAATGTATTCAAAAACCCAACATACTCCTGACGCCTTCGATAAAAGCAGGTTGCGAAGTAAACATATTTTTAGAATCAAAGCCTTAATCGCATACATTCTTAATTGCATGCTGTGCTTATAATTTCTTTCAGTACACGTAAATACACTTTTCGAGGTGTTTTATGTTTAAAAAGTGGTGCAAAAAGAGTGATTTTGATCGGTGCCACATTCCACAACCTCTCAGCACTACACATCGATGTGTGCCTTTGTTTGTTGGCGAGTCGAGTTCAACTTTGACCGTCTGTTAATTGTAACCGGCTACTGATATTAATGTATTAAATTTATTCCAAATATTTTATTATTTTATACATTTCAACATATAAAATTCCGACTATCATCAGTTATAAAAGTCTAAAATTATTAATATTTTAATGATATGCACATTAGTAACATTTTCGATGGAAATAACAAAGTATGTTTATAAATATTTTACCAGAATTAAAATATATTCAATATATTAAAAACAGAACAGACGTATTAACAGTCTAGTTGTTTTTTCTAAGTTTCTACTTTATACTTAGATCTTTGGTTTACAAGTGAGCCATATACATAGGTTGAGTTATAATTTACAGACAGACCATGAAATCATAATGCTATATTACCTAA